ACAACCACAGGTAGGGAGGAAATCCATTGGAGACTGGTTATAAATAGACTTTTATTTCATCTGCTAAAAGCTTGGCAGGCGAGGTGGGAGGGCTGCCTATGCTGGCAGCCAGGCAAAAGTTCTGTGCAGTTTTTATGTTCAGGTGGAAGGAGTGGAGAGACAGAGAACTTAAAAAAAAAAAAAAAAAAAAAAAAAAAAAGCATAATATGCCACCTGTAGTGTCTTCTTGGGCAAATCACTTAATTTCTCTGTGTCTAAATTTCCTCCTCTATAAAATGGTGATTAAGAAAAATAGGTGTCTTATAGAATAATGGGCAACCCACATAAAATAACAAGGTACACAATGAATAAATATACATCCCAATAAAACATTGATACTACCACCTTGCTCTTTGTAAAATGGAAAAAGCAACTCAAAAACTTCAAAAGATTAGTGGAAACATAGTGAAGGATAATTGTATACAAGGTAACAATAATACTAATTATTTTAAATATTATGGGTTTAAAAAGAAAAAGAAAACTTTAGCAAATAGGGCTATATGCGATGCTGGATGCAGAATACTGAAGCTGACTCAACCTTTGAGGACTTCTTTTTTGGTGTATCTGAGACAAATAACTAGTGCAAATGGGAATCTCAGAGAAAACTACTGGAAAAGCCAAACAATACTAGGTGGTGCATAAATGCTAGTTGAGCAGTATAAATTGTGCTGCAGGTATGTTAAGGATCTCTCAAATTTTTTTTTCCCAGTACTGGGAATCGAATTCATGACCTTTCGCTTGCCAGGCAGGCGCTGTGCCGCTAAGCTAAATCCCCAGCCCCTAAGGATCTCTCTAGACTGAGGGAGGCAATGGCAGAGCCTTGAAGCAGATATTTAAATAATAAGTTAAACCAAGGGAACCAAATAGTGGATGAATTCTGGAGATAATGAATCAGTCATGTGTTCGGGGCAAGAGGAAGGATGGGGATTACAAAGGTGTTGGTGGCAGGGATCTGTTACAGGAGATAAGGAAGGCCAATGAAGGTTTATTGTGTATGGTGATGATGGTTTTTTTAAAAGAGAAGACCTGGAAATACACTGTTTTAACATTATTATGTAAAGCTACATACTAATCATTTTATCTTTGTTTCATCCTTGCATGAGTGTTTTACTCAAATTTATTTTAACAAAGAAAATTTTAGTTCATGTTTAATATTGAAGAATAGTATGAGCAAGTAGGTAATACTCACTGCTCAACTGCCTTAGGATTCTCCCTCAGTTTATAGACAAGGTAAGGAGAATACCTCTCCATTTCAACATATATCCTAAAATTAAATTCTGGCTTCCATAATTTCTATTAGAGATGATGATGTTTTCTGTAAACCATGAAATCTGAGTTGATCAGGATCCTAGGAAGTTACTTTATAAAAGTATATTACTTAAGAAGTTAAAAGATAGTCTTTGCTAGAATTTATCTACCCAGCAATCCAATTTTACCTCTTATAACCAATTTCTGAACACAAGCAAAATTCTTTATATAAGCTTTGTAAGCTCCAAAGTGGTGAGACTCTTCTTCACAGTTGTATCCTAAGAACTTAGTATATGGTAAGGAGATGTTCAGTACATATTTGTTGCAATAAATCTCTCACTAAACATCTGAACACATCTAGCTTTTAAAGACTATTATAAAAAGTAGCAGTCACCCAAACTCAAGTATTTCCCTTACTTTCAGGTATCAGTTCTGCTATAGCATCTGTTTAGAAACAACAAATTTGTTCCAACACGATTGATATATTAGAGATTAAAGTACATTTTGCTACTACTTCATTTGGGGGAAACACTAGGTGAATACAGAAAACCATATCCAGCTGAAACAAGCTACATGTAAATACACAAAAAGTGTATTTTTAACATCTATTGACTATTTCATGTACTTGTGATGAATTATACCCAGCCACATCTTATGTTACAACTTTTCTTCTGATTTCAGAAAACTTTTTTGTCATGAGCCATAACCTTTCCTATGTAAACTTTAGGTCTTGTTAAAGGCAAACCACAATATTTACTGCAGTGTTTACATATTTTGACCATTTAACAAGTATCTTTTTTTAAAATTAAGTTTCTTTCTTTATGGTTTTCTGAGACAGGGTCTCACTCTACAAATATAGTTCAGGCTGGCCTTGAACTCAGTATGTAGCCCAGGCTGGTCTTGAATTCATGGTGATCCTTTTGCCCCAGTCTCCTGAGTGCTGGGATTACAGCTGTGCGCCCGTACCTCTGCCGAAGGCTCTTATCTTTATTTTGCAGTGCTAGGGATCAAACCCTGGTCCTTGTTAGTGCTAGGCAAAGGCTCCACCATTGAACCACATCCTCAGTCCATCTTTACTATTCATATTCACAGATGAAGTTTTTTGCTATGACTCTAATCTCTTTTTCTGTAAGCTCTATGTTGTTTTGGTAGGCATGCTTTTGGTACATCATAATTATTTTTAGGAATACATATGTTAAATTTTAACTAAACTGGCTGTATGTCAAAACTCCTCTGACCCTAACAATTGTTAACAATGACCTCCCTAGTATAATCAATACAAAGGCAGAATGTTTCTACCTATCTGGTTGTCAATATAACCTTAACAGTTTCTTACTACTAATTATAATTCATGTCTCCTCTGTGAATTGGCTAACATTATCAGACTACAACAGGTTATTTTGAAATACCTTTATCACAAAGAGAATTACTGTTGTGTCAGAATAGCTGATGTTATAATTTTTAATTAAATCAAGTTTTGAAATCTTTGATTTCAATGAAGATTTAAAATTTAAACATAAAAGAAGAATCAAATTACTTACTAATACACTGTTTTAACATTACTGAGTGTATTATGCAACTATCACATAGTATGTCACTTAGGTAATACTTGGTGCACTTCATACATCTGATTAAAAGAATTTACCAATGCCATTAATTTAACCTACAAAACAATATCATTTTTATAGAAAATTACTAGAATTATTTCTCTTAGGGTATGTTGTTACAATCTATCAAGGCAAAAGCACTTTCAAAGAAATGTTTAATATAAAATTATTTTTCTAAAATAAGCTCATGAATTATAGCTATGTAAGTAAACTCTAAAGTTCAATTACCACTTAAGATAAATAGAAAATAATTATAATCAACCTTTAACATAAACTTTATCTTAGAACAGTTGTAATACTAAATCATGTTACATATATTTGCAAAACTAAAAGAACACATCAAATCAGTCATTCAAATGTTAATTCTCTATTATGTTCAGTTTTAGTGTTATTTAAAAGCTTGAAGAAAGCAAAGGATTATGATGCCAAAAAGTTGACTATTTTAACTTTCTGTGCCAGGAATAATTTACTTTCTTTCTTTCTTTCTTTTTTTTTTTTTTTGGTACCAGGGATTGAACTCAGAACCTCGCACTTGCCAGGCAGGTGCTGTGCCACTAAGCTGTATCTCCCGCCCAATAATTTACTTTCTAAAGAAATATCTTTTTACCCATTTTTACTAGTAAACATTACTAGCTGAAGTAACATGATCCACACCTATCTCCTTTTAAGAAAATTTCCCAATTTTCTCATTTAATGCACTGCCTCAGGGCTATGAATATTGATCACTTATGGTTGAATATTTACCACTTATAAGTTCTTCTAGAAGGAATGTGCAAGTTAGCCACACTTGGCAAGTTACGCACTGTGGTTTTTGTGGTGGGTGCTACCATTTTCTAAGGATTAAGAAAAGTACAATAAATCTGAGACAAAACATTACATAAATGACTACCCTGCATGTATTTTTCCAATTCATATCTTCAATTTCATATTTTCCAATAAATTAGGGTTTTAAGATGGAAACGAAGTTACCTTTTAGCGTCCCCCTTTACTGTAATTTTTGCATAAGCTAACCTGGCATAAATATCATCTTTATAAAAAAAGGAGTTAAATTTTTTTTTTTTTGGTTTTTCTCCGGTACCGGGAACCGAACTCACAACCTTGCACTTGCCAGGCAGGCGCTTTTGCCGCTGAGCTAAATCCCCAGCCCAAGTTAAATGTTAATATGTTCTTATTTATAGGTAAAAGGGAAAGGAAAAAAGAAAATGAAACTCCTTGAAAGAACCAATTTTCATCTTCTACCCCATAAATATTTATAATGAACCAATTAACACAATGACATGTAAAAATTTTAATATGGTTAAATATTAACTTAAAATGGCACTTTAACATGAAGATTTACAGAAAGTTATGAGACGTTTCACTAGTTGATCGCCATGTGGGTTCAATCTCTTTCTCAGTCTCATTTTTTTTTCTGTTCATCTCACATAACTGCTTATCCTCTTTCTAATGTCATGGCTGTTGGCTAACATTTTTTCAGAGTAGCCTGCTGGCCAGCTGCCAGGATGTCTGTGTGTGTATGTATGCACGTGTGATAGCACTGGTAGTGTGCTGTTTAAATTCGTGGGTTAGACATATTACAAATGAGTATTTGTTACTAATAAAGTACTGAGTGTCCTTTCTTTACATCTATGTATCAATACAAATCATAGCACTGAATTTAGACAAAAACACATATGTATAAAGAAGTGCATACAAGGACAGACATTACCTAAACAACCTGAATGCCCATCAAGGAGGAATAAATAAATAAATAATTGCATAGTGATACTACCTTTTACTTTTTCTTAATGAACATATCCAAATAATTATATGGAAAGACCTATATGATATTTTTGATTAAAAATCAAAATGCAGTTTCCACGTATAATATGACAAAACAGATGAAAAGATATTTTAAAAGATATTTTTATATGAATGCACAGGAAAGGTTCTAAAGGAATTAGTTCCATTTCTGTCCTATTTCAGTTTTTAAAAAATACTGTATATTAACATATACCCAAATAAGTATAAGCAACTGAAAGAGAATTAGTCTCTTCATATTTTCCTATAACATTACGTGCATTCTGATATGTGGGATAGGAAAGTCACAGTATGAGAATGTCATTTGAAAGCACGTATACTTAGCCAACCACAGCTATTTTCAAATAACTCAAAGCCTATGCTGTTTATGCTGAAAGTGTTAACAGCTCAGTTATAAGGATATATAAAAGATGAGACTTAGAGTTATGTTTTAATTTAAATGTTACTTATGAGCTCATATGATTATGTATACAACTAACCATCTCTAAATGTATGAGTTTCTTAATTTATAACCCATAGTTAAAAAAAAAAGGCCAGGTAATTTTTTCACCCACGGCTAACTGAAGGTAAACTACTTTTTCAAGCCCTCAAATTAAGTAAATTGCATTCATCCACCAATGAGAATTTAACTGATTACAAAAAAGAGGAAGGGAGTAAAATTAAAAAGTAGGTTTACTGTTACTATTAAACTTCTAAGTTTCCAATGAACACCATATCCTTAAGGTAGACAAGACACTATTTTTTCTGTACTATAATCAGTCTGGTTCAGAACTCATGATGCCCAAGTCCTAAGCTAAATGCTTAGTAATATTATTTTGGTTACTTCTTACAATATTCTTATAGAGAAGATTAAAGAGAAATTATAGATAAAACTCTTGCCTGGAAATAGAACAATAAATGCTGTTCTTTATTACAAATTACTACTGCCTAATCTCAAACTGTTTTTCCAACTTTCACTCTACTGCAGCCAGCTTTTTTCAAAAAGACTCACTGACTTTTATATGCATTAGTGCCAAGAAATCTTCAAAGGATTCCCACTGCCTGCTAAATTAAGCTCAAACTCCTTTACCTGTCATTCAAAAACATGCTGTGACATAGCTTCATTTCCCTGTAAATCCCCACTATTCTCCAAGCAGAGTGGATCATTAAGAGAATGGTTTTAGGATATGTAACAGAAATATTCTTGTCACTTTCTCTGAAGAATCTTATCCTTCAAGGCTCAATAGAAATACTGCATCCTTCAGAAAGCTGATTCTCTGGTACTCTTGTTGTCCTTTAGTATTCAAAGATGATAAGTACCAGGACCCTCCAAGAATACCAGAATCAACAGATGCTCAAGTACCCTTTATAAAATGGTGATGTCCTGGGTGTGGTGGTGCATGCCTGTAATCCCAGCACTTGGGAGGCTGAGGCAGGAGGATCATGCAGAGTTGGAAGCCAGCCTGGGCTACGTAAGCGAGCTCAAGGCCAACCTGCATTATGTAGTGAGACCCTGCCTCAATGCCCCCCCCAATAAAAACAAGGAAATGAAACGGTAATGTACCTGTATATAAACTACACGTTCTCTTATATACTTCATCTCTAGATTACTCATGATTGCTAATGCAATGTAAACCCTCTGTAAATAGGTGTTGCAGTACAGTATTTAGAAAATAATGACAAGAAAGAATTTCTGTATGTTTAATACAGATACAATCATATTAGGTCCAATTTTCTCCCCCTGGTACCAGGAATTGATTGCAGGGCCTTCAAACTAAGCTATATTCCCAGCTCTTTTGAAATCTTTTAAGGTCTAAGACAGGGTCTTGCTAAATTGCCTAAGAAGGGATGGAACCTTCCATCTTCTTGCCTCAGTCTCCCAGAGTGCTAGGATTCAGGTATGTGCCACCATGCCTGCCTAATTAATTTTCAATCTGTGGTTGGTGCTGAACCAACCCATGGCCACAGGCAACCAACTATGCTTATCTATAAGCTCATACACACAAAAAAACTTTACTCATTTCTGCATCACTATGATGCCTAACAGTATTTTACACAAAATTTACTTTTAATAATACACAAAAATTTCACTACCGAGAAAGTGAGACTTAATATTCATATAAAATTCCTTCTTCAATTTCCCCTTCCATTTATTCTAATAGTGTTAGTAACTCTGCTAATTGCCCCTTTTCCAGTCTTAATTCAACATCTGTGAGACACAATTCTTTCAACAAATGTTGTAAATCATCAGTGACCTAATGCTAACTAGATTGCCTTATGTTAAAGTTATTATGTATCAACAGTGAAGAAAGAAATGTAAAGGAGTCAGACATATGCTAGAATATTAGAATCATCTGTCAAAATTAATAAATGGGATACACAATTCCTCTGTTCAGTTTTGGGTAATTTGTAACTTAGGAACTGAATTTTATTTTATTTTATTTATTTATTTATTTTGTTTTTCTCTGGTACCGGGAACCGAACTCACGACCTTGCGCTTACCAGGCAGGCGCTTTGCCGCTGAGCTAAATCCCCAGCCCTAGGAACTGAATTTTAAATCAAAAGATATATATATGTATTTTTGTTTTTGTTTTTCTTCCGGTACCAGGAATTGAACACATGACCTTGCGCTTGCCGGGCAGGCGCTGTGCCGCTGAGCTAAATCCCCAGCCCCCAAAAGATATATATGATTACCTACCTATTTAGTAAATAAAGTCATCTTCTGTGGGTTAATTCTGTCTCTACAGCTATATAAACCGATAAAATCAATAAATACCCTTAAAAACTAACAGACTTTGTCCATCTGACCATTCACAAGTAATTTTCCTTGGTTAAAAATCTAAGGCATCAAAAAAATCTCAGTTGTTAGTTTTTGTGTTGTATCTAGGATAATTTCAACTATATATAACTTTCTTATCTGACTTTTTTAAGCAACCAAGTTTAAAAATTAGCCAATATTAATTATACTGTTACATTTAAAAATATAGTTAAATTCTTCACATAAAAGACCTTTAATATATTATTTGGTTCTATCCAGAAACATTATTTATGACTGTCAATTACTGACGAATGCACTACCTTTTTACATGAAGACACCAGCAGCACACAAAAGATGAAGATCTCAGAAAGGAGTCTGTTTCATTAATTTTATCCCTTCTACTACTTGTATCATATATAAACCTCATAAAGGAGATCAGCTGATGTTAATGTTTACTTTTGAGTTAGGACCAGAGTATACTTTTGTATATTCATGAGGGTTAACTCAATAGAATTTCAAATTTATTTTTTGTAAACTGTTTTTGCATTAGTTTGCTACTACTAGCAAACAAGCTTAATTAGAAATATTCAGGCAAAAGTTATATTAAAGTTAATACTATCCACTCATTACCTAGATGTTAGGGATGCTACTGTGTTAAACACAAGAAGACTACAAATTTTGAAAGTAAAGTTGTAGTTACTACAGATTTCATAGTAAGGCGTTACACAGCTAATCTTGACTGGTGCCATGGACTTTAGCATACCTGGAAATAGAAAAATTCAAACTGTAGCTGTTCTTGGCTGGCCCATTGCCATTTTTGCAGCTTACAAATTTTTTAATTAAGTAACTGCAGTGAGCTCATCTCTACTGGATACTTCTTTTCCAGGGCAGGTCCAGGAACTGGGTCTGGAGCCTTGAAAGTAGAAGAGAAACTAGAGTAAACTATAGGTAGGCAAAGTAAGAAATGTGACCAGATAACATTATAAGATCTAATAGCAATGAGATAGTTTCTGAAGTCTCTAACATAAAATATTGTGAAGTAGAAAAGGATTTCTTAAATTACAAGTTATCAGAGAAAAAGCAAATAGCTTTAGTTAAGGCATTCTCTTAATCTACCCAAATCTAGTTTAAATTCCCAGTTCTAGAAATTCAAACATAGTTTTTATGAAATCTCTAATGGCTTTTAACAACAGCTTGTCCAACAAAGTATCATAGAAAATCAACAACAAAATCTATTTTCATTGGTAAAACTGGAATTATAAAGTCCTCATTTTCTGGTTATTTTACAGCTGTTTTGCTATTGTATTTGCTATTATTTTTTAACTGCTTCCCTAATTTCCTATGATCAATTGTCAGGGTTTTCTTAAATGCTTTAGATAAATCCAAGCAATGAACTCAATTTCAAGTTTCAATTTTAAAAAAATCCTTGGCAATTCTTAAAGGAGGCAAAGAACAGCTCATAAGATGTGGTTTTCAACCACACTGGAAATTCTTTTTTCCATTACCAAAATAGATTCAATGATTTAAAAAAAATTGTTAGGCCCATATAAAAACAAAAACCAAAAACAAACTTCCAACTACAAAGGTTAAAGAAATAGTATTACATTAAAAGTGTAGACTGCTGTACTAATTAGATTTCTAGGGTCCAGAAATGACGGCCTTATGCTTGCAGGCTGGTACCCTTGGGAGTTTTTCTAAGAAATTCTATAGCAGTCAAAATAAACTAAATTTTTTGCTATTGTCAAATGTGAAAATTCTAATGGGACAATACACACACACACACACACACACACACACACACACACAGGGATTCAAAGAATTTAACTTCCTGTTTTTAAAGTACTTCACAATACAACAAAATACTAAAAAATTTTGTGTGAGAAATACAAACTTTCCACCTTGATGGTATGTTGTAGAGAAAAAAATTAAAGAAGAAAAGAGAGCTAAGTTCAAATCTGATTTTGACATGGCCTACAATTATACTCTATAGAAATTTCCTTTCTATTAAATAAAAACTACTCATCTCAATGGACTGTCATGAATGAGATTTAGCTAAAAAATACATAAAGCACCTAACAGCCTAGCATATAACGAGTATCCAAAAATTTCTCTCCATCACAAAATAATGAAATCTATTCATTTGTTGTTTGAAATAGGAGTATACACATTTTCATTCTCATAAATGCAAAAGGAACAGCTATGCTTAAGGTTTCACTACATTAACTGCATTACATCCTAAGAGATACAATTATTACATAGCTACATAAATAAATACATGAGACAGCTCAATTCTGAGAGCTCATGCTAAATAAAAATACAACAATTTACATTTAAGATGTAAAGATGATTTACAGTAAGCAAGACAGAATACTTCTCTCCCAAGGTTAAGAAGAAAATACTTGTTTCAACACACTTCTTGTTAAAATGTTACAAATATTAGAAGACAGCGTCTTAACAAACAAAAAAGCCATCAATACATAATATAACTTGGTTTGTCAGGAAGTGCTTTAACAGCAAAGAAGAGTCTTATATATGGGCAGTAATTATCCTCTTACTGATAGAACAGTGGGTTCCACACAAAATTATTATTTACCAAATATGGCTCAAAGATCGTATTACACATTCTCTGACATTACCGAGTAATAGAGCAAGTATCACAAGCCACAAGGAATTTAAAAAAAAAAAATTTCCTAAATGTATTCACTCAACTTTATTTCAAAATTGTTCTCATTCCAAATAAAGAGATAAGATTAAATTGGTGTATTATTCAGAAAGCAAAAAACAGAACACTTCAGAGAAACCATTATTATGTACTTCAACTTTATAGCTGGCCATCATACTGAAATTTCACTATTTACAGTTTGGCTTTTCCAGACATACAACGTCATCCATAAGTAATAAATTTGCAGCCTCCTTTTCAAAAATCACTATATATCTATTTTATTTTTTGGTCTAATTATATTGGTTAGCATTCCCAAAACAATGTTATAAAACAGAACCCTACTACATTGCTGGTGGGGCTGTAAACCAGTATCACCACTTTGGAAATCAGTATGAAGATTTCTCAAAAAATTAAAAACAGAAATTTCATGTGACCCAACTATATCTCTCCCAGGTATTTTCCCTAAAGAGCTAAAGTTATCATACTAAAATGATACATGCATATGCATGTTTGTAGCAGCACAACTCACAACAGCTAAAATCATGGAAGCAGCCTATATCCCCATCAACAGATGAAAGGATAATATGGTATGTGTACATAATGGAGTACTACTCAGCCATAAAGAAGGATAAATTCAAGTCATTTGTAGGAAAATGGATGGATCTTGAGGCCAGAAAACATTATTAAATGAAATAAGTCAGTCACAAAGGCTTAAATATCACAAGGTTTGTCTGAGAGACCCAAAATATAAAGAAGTGAACAAGCAAAATAAAACAGCCATGTTAAGAAAAAGAAAGGTAGATTCTGTAGAGATGGGAATGGGCCTGGGGGAGGAGGGAGTGGAGGGCAGGAAGAGGGGCAGGGGGAATAAAAATCGTCAAGATACTTTATGTATATTTATCAAACTCCAAGCTCAATGTATCAATATGTGTAACAAACATATACTGCAAAAGCCTGGTGTGGTAGTGCATGCCTGTAAACCCGAATGTCTTGGGAGGCTGAGACAGGAGGATTGCTGTGAGTTTGAGGCCTACTTGAGGGTTCATAATGAGTTCAAGGTCAGCCCAAATTAGAGTGAAAACAAAACAAACAACCTGAAAAACAAGGCAAACAAATATACTATACATATTTGGCCAGATCTTTTTTGATTCATGACTTTTTAATAGGAATTCAACATGTTACTAGGTATTAAAAGAGGAATTTTAGTATTTTACCATTTCTAGTAAGAAACGTTGGCTTCTGGTCTGAGATAATAAAAAACTTTGGAATATCTCTTTATTCTTGTTTTACTAAGAACTCTAGGTAGAAATAAATGTTGAAATCCTCCTCTTCCCCTTTTTGGTACCCTTTAAGATAGTCCTATCTCCCTCCCACTAACTAATATGAATTACTATGATTACTACATTCCTAGAATGAATTCCACTTGGTCACAGTATTATTCTGCTAATGTAATGTTAGATTCTATTTGCTATTTTATTAAACATTGTTTGCAACAACTTTTGTGTGAAATTCATTTTGTTATCATGTTATGCTGGCTTTGTAAAAAGAACCAGAAATAATTCTCTATGTTCTGAAATAGTTATCTGGGGCTTGAAGTTTTAAAGAATGCAAAGGCAGAAATCTCCTGGATCTGGTAATTTTTTGCAGGGAAGGATCTCTTACTAGGTAAGATTAGTTTTTCATTTGTGGCTCCAGACCCTGTCCTTTCACATTTCCTTAAGAAAATCAACACCATTCCAATTTTTCCCTTCAACCTATAAATATGTGTAAGTCATCTTAAATACACAACCATGTGTGCATTCATACCAAAAAGTTTTTCTGCACCAGTTACATCTTCTAGTAATTCCACAAGTCTTAATTCACAAAGTTATTTATTAAACTTGCTGCTGTAGCCAGGCATGGTGGCACATGCCTGTATAATCCTAGCACCTGGGAGGATTATGCCTGTAATCCTAGCACAGCAGGAGGATTGCTGTGAGTTTGAGGCCAGCCTGAACTACAGTGAGAACCTGTATCCGCCCCCCCCAAAAAAGTTGTTGTAGGTCCTGCCCTCTATTTACTGGTCTAGTAGGAAACACCAAGCATGGAAGAAACTGCAATGGAAATATAAAGAATAAACATGCTAGAGCTCATCTCTCTTACAATTCATGTCTTGCCAAACTTCTCTCCTCAGTATTTATACCATGACCCCAAGTTTGTTTTAATCGGCCTTCAAGGTTTCCTCCTTGATAGTACTTCTACTCAAATTACCAAATCCAATAATCTCTTCAAGATTTTCTCCCACCTTTTTGCAATCATTTAAATTCACTGAATATTTTAAATTTTACTAAGTGCTTCCTAACTCACTGTATCATTAAATCTTCATGAAACCACTGTGGAAGACTAAGTAGTTATCACTCTGATTTTGCAAGGTTCAGATGATTAAGAAACTTTACTATCAAAACTTTAAACTGAGAATTTTCCTCTTGAAAATTCCTTTTTCTGGTCAACACTGTGCAGTCTTCTAGTTTCCTAGGATCCTTAGTTCTAGACTTAAGGCTTGTTAAAAGGATGTTTAGAGGTGAAAAATTATGACATTCATTCTCTGACTTTTTCTTTTGGCACCTCATCTACACTCACAGTGTAACTTAAGGACAATCTCTTTTAAACTGTAGTTTAAATGTTGTCTACCTGATAAAACATTCAGAATCATGGAATTTGATGCTGAAAGGAGCATTGGATAATCTAGTTTAATACTTTTATGTAAGAAAAAGAAAGTTCTAGTCACACAAGTCAACAGAATCTGAATAAAAGTTTAATAAAGACAATTTGTTATGAATCATAACTGTACATTTAAATATAGTAAATACAGAATATTTTAAGAGTACTTATTGAGCTTTGCTTTATTTTGACAAGATTTGTCTGTTTTTTAGTTATATGACAACAGCAATATATAAGCCCATTTATCAAAGTGTATTTTAAAAAGTGCAGAACATCAATAAAGTTAAAATCTACTTAATCACACACTTTTGCATGGTCTTCACTGCAGATTTTGGAATAAAATCATACCACTATGCTTCCCACTATGTTTCCCACCTGAGTTGATGTTTTGACCCAATCTAGCTGCAGCTGGTAGAAAAAGCATGGACAGCTGCTACAGCATTTAGAATAGCACCTGGTTGTCAGAGACCACTGCTGCTTAACAATGACTACTTCTAAATCTACTCACACTGCTGTGCCTGTGGCCAGAGCAAGGATTTGACCATACAGAA